TGTATAGGGCTTCTGAGGAGTCCGGCACATTAACCCACAGAGCCACACCAGGACTCCAGTTATGTTGTTAGATGTCATCCAATTGGTTCCAACTCATGGTGACCCTAAGGAGCTCTGGTAGTGTAGAGGTTACGAATCGGACTGCGAACCTCAAGGTCAGCAGTTCGAAACTACCAGCTGTTCCGCGAGAGAAAGATGAGGCTTTCTGCTCCTGTAAAGATTTACAGCCTCGGAAACCCTGTTCAGGGTCGCCATGAGTTGGTTCTGACTCTATGGCACACAGCCACCATGGTGACCCTAAGTACAACAGAAGGAAACACTGTCTGGTCCTTTACCTTCTTCATAACTAGTAACTTTTTGTACCCATTTGTACCTGTTGTAGCCACCAGTTGAATTTATCTTGCTGAGGGTCTTCCTCTTTTTCACTGATCCTCTACTTTACCAAGCATAATGTCCCCCAGGGGCTGGTCCTAAGTTCATGAGACCTTCTCACCATTCTTTCTTCAATGGCTGTACTTCTTCAAAAACAGATTTTTTCATTCTTCTGGCAGTTCATGGTAATATAATATTCTTTGCTAACATTGTAATTCAGAGACATCCATTCTTCCTTGGTCTTCCTTATTCATTGTCCAGCTTTCACATGAGATGACTGGAAATACCATAGCTTTAATCAGGCCCTTCATAGTCTTCAAAGTGGCATCTTTGCTTTTTAACAATTTAAACATCTTTTTCAAACTAATTGCATGGTTTGTTGAACGTAAAACTGATGAACTGCTCTGTAAACTTTCATTCAATTCACAATAAAAAGGTTTTTTAAAAGAGAGAATGATCTTTTACAGCAGGTTTTAACAAAGCAATACATCATTTAATTTCCTGACTGATGATTTGTGATTGATTGATTGTGGATCCAAGCAAAATGAAATCCTTGATAACTTCCATCTTTTCTCTGTTTCTCATGATGTTGTTACTAGTCCAGTTGTGAGGACTTTTGTGTTCTTTATGTTGAGGTGCAAGCCATACTGAAGGCTGTAGTCTTTGCTCTTCATCAGTAAGTGCTTCAAGTTCTCTTCACTTTCAACAAGCAAGATTGTGTCATCTGCATGTCTCAGGTTAATGAATCTTCCTCCATTCCTGATGTCAAGTTCTTCTTCATACAGTCTATACTGTCAGATTATTTGCTCAGCATACAAACTGAATAAGCATGGTGAAAGGATACAGCCCTGATGCACACCTTTCCTTCTTTAAAACCACACAGCATCTCCTCGTTCTGTTTGAACAATGCACAGACTCTGAATGAACAAGATTAAGTATTCTGGAATTCCTGTTCTTTGCAATGTTATCTATACTTTGTTGTGATGCACACAATTGATTTCTTTTGCATAATCAATGAAACACAGGTAAATATCTTTCTGGAATTCTCACCAAGATCCATGTAATATCAGCAGTGGTATCCCTCATTCCATGTCCTCTTCTGAACCCAGCTGCAACTACTCTGCCTCAGCAATAAATAGAAACAAAGTACTGATACATACAATACCACAGAAGAATTTCAGAAAGGATTATGCTAAATGAAAGAAGCCAAACTCAAAAGGAAAGAACTTGCAGCCAAACTCAAAAAGAAAGTTACTGTATGATTATATTTATATGAATTTCAGAAAAGGCAAAGAAAAAGATGTCAGTGGCTTTCATGGGCTAGGAGTTAGGGCAGAAGTTGACTACAAATAAACACAAAGACTCTGGAGGTTGATGAAATAACCTATAATTTGATTGATGATGAAATATTCTATAATATGATTGTTGTAACGGTTACATGACTCTATGCTTTTATGAAACCTCATAGAGCTAAACTCTAAAAAGATGAATTTTGCTGTTTGTAAACTATAACGCAATAAATCTGACTTCAGTAATAAAACTCAGTTATAAGCTGCTTTCTGAAGCACATCTAAAACAAAACTACACAGAAATATTGAAAGTATAAAAAAAGGCTTTACCAAGGAAACACTAAGCAAAAGAAAGATTGCTTTTGCTGTTGTTAAATTCCATTGAGTCGGTTCTGACTCATAACCACCCTGAACAGGGTTTTTGAGAGCAGTTGGTGGGTTTAAACTGTAGACCTTGCAGTTAGCAGTCCAGAGCCTGTCCTACAGTGCTACACCAGAAAGGTGGAAGACCTATGTTAAGACTAGGTGTATTTTAAAGCAAAAGTGTAACTAAAAATTATGAGAGTCATTTAAAAATGAACAATGCATTGGAAAGATTGCACATTACTAAAATCATATGTTATCTAATAACAAATGTTCAAAATATACATGGCAAACCTTAACAGAACATGAAGAAATTGACAAATTTTAATATTTCTTAGGTCATCAGGTTGGAACTGACTTGTAACAAAAATAACAAGTAATGTGTAGATGAAGTAGAAAACAAGTAATAAAAATATAGCAGATTTGAATAATACAATCAACAAATTTAATTCAACAAGTATCTATGGAATCCTACACCAACAAGTGAATATTATTCTTTTTTGAACATACATAGAGCATTTACAAAACTAGATCATGCACTAAGACTCTAGCAAGTCTCTATAATTGTGTAATTGAATTTAGAAATCAATTACAAACAAAGAAAGGTAACTTTTAAAATCCTTAATACTTGAAAATGTTATAAGTTAAAAACTTACAACATTTATGGGTTAAAAACTAATTCAAAATGAAAACTAGACACTGTACCAAAGGATGGGGAAAAAAAAAAAAAGAAAACTAGAAAATTCATAGGATTAAATGAAAATAAAGACACTTTACATATCGAAGCTTGTGCAGTCAACTAAAGTGGCATTTGGAGGAAACTGTCTAACCTTAAATGCACATATTAGACAACAAAAATTTATTAAATTAGGGCTGGAGAAGACAGAAATAAGTGATTTTATTATTTTCCGGTATGGTACAATCCAATGAAAGAAACAGTTTCTCTATGCACTTAAACCTTAGTTAGGGAAGTAGTTGGGTCATGAGGAAGAAGGCTATCATATATTCAAATGTTCAACTTTTGGAAGGGAATATCACTAATTAAATGCTTATGTGATTAAAATAATTAAAGGAGATTTAAACATCAGTAGTGGTTTTCAATTTATCCATCTCACCTTCTATTACTCATGAACATACACACATAAACTAGTCACTTTGGAGAGAGTTAAGGACCACTCTATTAATACATCATCCATTATAGTGAGCTAGAGGGTCTTTTCAAACACTCAAGCATTTACCAATCATTTACTATATTGCAGTGCAGTGAATTGCTCAATGTCCCTTTTAGCTATATATAGTCTTTGTAACTCTCCCCAAATGACTGAACAGGACTATGAAAATGAGGTACTTGTGGTCCACCAAGTGGATTGGACAAGTTGCTAATAATACAAGTAAGGTGCATGGAACCCCTGTGGGGGTTGTTGTTGTCAAGTGCTGTCAAGTCAATTCTGACTTAATGTGACCCTGTGTAGCATTTTTGAGGCTATAAATCTTTGCATAAGCAGAAAACTTCATCTTTCTCCCATGGAGCATTCCGGTGGACTCAAATTTCCGTGGTTCACAGTCCAGTGATTATTCTATGGAGCCACCGTGCAGTTGTTGTTAAGTGTCATCGAGTCAGTACCGACCCATAGTGACCTTGTTGTTGTTGTTGTTAAGTGCCATCGAGTCGGGTCCGACCCATAGCGACCCTGTACAGGGTTTCCGAGGGTGTAAATCTTTACGGGAGTAGAAAGCCTCCTCTTTCTCCCGCGGAGCGGCTGGTAGTTTCGAACCGCTGACCTTAAGGTTCGCAGCCCGATTCGTAACCACTACGCTACCAGAGCTCCTTAGGACCGTGCAAATAATGTATGGGGCCCTAACAAAGGGATTGATTGGTTTTGCTGATCCACTAAGTTTAAAAGGAGGGTTCCATTACCACCAAGAAGAAGAGATGGGAGTGGAACAAGTCCTTTGGACCTGGGATCCCTGCATTGGGAACCTCTTAGAGCCAGGAGACATGAGCTATAACACTGGAGATGGTAAGAAACAGCTAAAAGTAATAGTAGAGAAATGATGGTAGTAAAGGCAGTGGACATGGGACCTGAGTGCCTTAGGGCAGGAAGCTTGCTCTGTAGTGGGGTGCCTCTGGGCACTTATCAATGGAGCTAAAGAGCTTTATTACACTTGCCCAAGCAGGCAGAGGCCAGAATGGACCAAGAGGCTTTAGAAGCCAAGGGGCCAAGGGTTGAGAAGCTAAAGGTCAGGGTCAGGCCTTCCTGCATGCATGGCTGAGAAAAGGCTGTCCAAAGAACTGTATCTTAAAAAACCCCATAAACCTAAGTATTCTCTGTGAATTCTGGGTGACCATTGCAACAAGCTCTCAAACCCAGCAGAGAAGTAAAGAGTTCCATATGAGGAGTGGCCAGTGTCAGAATCGCCTGTCCTCTGCCTCATAGAAGTCAACCTTGGGCTGATGCTGCTGTGATTCACCCCCTTCATGAAGTTAGAGGAGGTCAGGCACCTGCCTCTCTCCCCAGTCATTGTCGCACATGTATAAATTGTTATGAGAAAATCAAAGATGGACAAAGTCAGGCTTGAGGAGCTCCAAAATTTTATTTGACCAAAGTCAAGGCAGTGAAGTAGAATGCGAAAAGATAAGGTTGGCTAGTTGAATGCCAGGGGAGGGATGTTAGCGAAAGTTTTATCAGTAGCAGCAAAGTATGAAGCATAAGCATGCTTCATTATTGTTGTTAAGTTCCATCGTGTTGGTTCTGACTAACTTTTATCTCAAGGGTATCTCCAACCATTTTATCGCAACAGTAAATTTAATAAATAAGCAACAAAATCTCATAAAAACTTCCATTTGCTCTGACACAGCAATCCTGTATAGGGTTTCCAAGGAGCAGCTGGTGAACTTGAACCGTGGACCTTGTGGTTCAAACCAACTTTGCAGTCCAGCGCATTAATCCACAATGCCAAAACCAAGAAGCTTACCTTCCTGAGTCACGAAGTCATCTTCAGCGAATCTGTTGAAGTTACCACACAGTCCACAAGTCTGGTTGAAGTATCGATCGGACAGCAAGACTTGGAAGTTGCCACTGGCATCAATTCTGGCTACAAAGCCATAGGCCTCACTGGACAGCTTGTAGTACCCAGCCTCAGTTTCCAGATACAGTCCATTGGAGGCATATGGCATGGCGACGCTGCAGAGGGAAAGATTCGCTCAAGAAGTGGGGTTCTTACAGATTTTCTAATGTCACTCCCACCCTCCAATATCAGTCTCAGGAGGTAGTGTTCAGAATACTCTGAAATGTGGCTGAAAGTTAAGGCAAGGAGTCCAGAGACTGGGGTCTCACCCAGCCCAGTTATTCACTGCTTATGGGCACATATTCTTCCTCTCTGAGCCTCAGCTCCTTCATCTGAAAAATGAGGAAGGTGTGCCAGGGATATCCAGGGCACTTTCTATTTCAGACATGCTGGGCTTCTGACTTACCTTTGGTCCCTTTGCATCACAGAACCATTGACAAACACATGGATGTCAAAATATTCCCCAAGATATACAGAGAGGCTCATTCTCTTGCCATTTTGGAAGTCCCCTGAAAGAGAAAAAAACATCAGTAGTGAATATTACATATATATGTGTGTGTGTATAATTGATAAGCATTATCTCTATCATTTTATCTCAGCAGTAAATTTAATAAATGACCAACAAAATCTCACAAAAACTTTCATTTCCTCACTCATCCGTCCATTCATCTAAAAATATTTATCGAGTGCTTTCAGGGTAGATGGTCTTCTGAATCATCCTTACATTCAAAAAGAAAAATGTAAAAACATGACCTCTTTCCTCTGGGAGCTTATAATTTAAGTATACAGACATTCTTGCAGCAATTGAATACACTGTATGGCAGCAAATAAGATCAATAGTGAGAGTTATTGATAATAGGTATCCTTTTGTTTCATTAGATTTCATTTCACAGAGTAGAACGGTCCCATAGGGTTTTCTTGATATAATCTTTATGGTAGTAGATTGCCAGGGCTGTCTCCAGTAGTCATTGAGTGAATTTGAACCAACAACTTTTTGGATAGCAGTCAAGCACTTAATGACTACACCACCTGGGATCTTAAACTCTGTTGTTGTGGTTGTTAAGTGTCATAGGGTCAGTGCCACTCACAGTGAACCTGTATAGGGTTTCCAAGGAGTAGTTGGTGGGTTTGAACTACCAACCTGTGGTTAGCAGACCAGTGCTTATCTTACAGTGCTACACCAGAAATCCCAACAGGTACTCTAGGATAGTGTTATTGAAAATGTGATCTTAAGTTATGTGCTGTTGAGTCGATTCCAACTCATAGCGACTCTGTATAGGGCTTCCAAGGAGTAGCTGGTTTGCTTGAACCGCCAACCTGGCAGTTCAAATGGCTTTGCAGTCTGGTGCATTAACCCACAGTGCCACATCAGGACTCCAAAGTGATCTTTGCTCCATTTACATCATTATGGTCAAGTCTACTTTGAGGAGACAGCTCTTCTTCAGTCATATTTTGAGTGTCTTCCAACCAAACGGGCTCATCTTGCGGCGTTATATCTGACAGCAGTTTGCTGCTATTCATAAGGTTTTCAGTTACTAAACATTCAGAAGTAGTCCACCTCTCCCTTTTCCTGTAGCGCATAGGGTCGCTGTGAGTCACAACTGACTTGATGGCACCTAACATCAACAGCAACAACACCTGAATTTGATTCTCTGGGAGAAATTGAAGGGTATTGTAATTAAAGTGCCTCACGCACAGTGCATGGAAATTAATAAGGACTCAGTAAATGACTTTATTAGATCATGACCCATTTATTTGTTAGTTTGTCATACAGTGTTGGCTTCTGCTATTTGGATGCTGGAAGCTATGCCACTGGTCTATCAAATACTAACAGGGTCATCTATAGTAGATAGCTTTCCAGGGAGATTTCACATTGAGACAAACTAGGAAGAAAGACCTGGAGATCTACTTCTGAAAATTAAAGGTGTTCAATGAATAGATCACAACAGAATATGCTAGAATGGACTACATAATAGACACAGCAATGGAATCAAACATAACAATGATCATGAACCAGGACACATTTCATTCTATTCTGCAAAAGACTGAGTCAGAGCCGATTAACATCAATTAACAACAGCAATGCCATCTGATGTGTTTTAAAAACCAAAAAATATATTTGTTGTTGTTGTTATGTGCCATGGAGTCGGTTCCAACTCATAGCGACCCTGTACGGGGTTTCCGAGGCTATAAATCGTTATGGGAGCAGAACGCCTCATCTTTCTCCTGTGGAACAGCTGGTAGTTTCGAACTTCTGACCCTGTGGTTCACAGCCCGATTCATAATCACTATGCTACCAGAGCTCCTTAAAATATATATATATATGATAAAATTGTCTCCAATGATCATCTGTTTGCGTGAAATGAAGACAGAGACCAGGATAATGGCCACTGGCACACAAGGGGAGAACAAGAGGCACATTTTATACAACATTAATGGCGGTGGTGGTGGGTATGTGTCGTGGAGTTGGAACCGACTCATAACGACCCTGTATAGGGTTTCTGAGGCTGTAAATCTTTATGGGAGCAGAACACCTCATCTTTCTCCCGTGGAACAGCTGGTAGTTTCGAACTGCTGACCTTGCGATGCACAGCCCGGTTCATAACCACTACGCTAAGACCTGACAATTTCACAGCTAGTCACTAAGAACTGGCATTTGTACTGGGTGCTCAATATTCAAAGGAAACTATAAGAAATGACACAACCAAAAAGGACAATATAGAAACTGAGTCTCCAAGACTTGAAGATTCAGAAATTGATGGAAATAGGAAAGATGAAGGTCAGTCAGTGAAGACATAAAGATGGAAGATCTAGAGGAAAGGCTCAAATGTAGGGCATGTTCCTTAGCATTCCTAAACCGCTGGGGCATAGAACCCAGGTGAAAGGTCAACCTTAGGTATATGATTTGTTGAATGTAAAACTGATAATCTTGTCTGTAAACTTTCACTCAATTCACAATAAAAAGTTTTTAAACAAAGAAAGAAAAGTTAATCTTGGGAATGCAGAAATCTGCCTTCTCCTAGGAGGAACAGGGAAGCGTGTACTCCAGCTCCTCAGCAAAAGAGGGGACAAGGAGATATGTGACCTATGTAAAGGAAACTTGGAAAGGTTTGTTCAACTTGAGATGGAGCTGCCTGGCCAGGACCATTAATGGAGCCAAAGTAGGGATCTCCTCACTCAAAGCAAATCTGAGAAGAGGAGTTCCTCAGCAAGGAGTCTGAACACACAAACACTTCCAACTAATTAGAATGAGCCAGAAAATAGGCTTCCTTCTAGTGAGATTATAGTGAGGGCTGTCACATAGAAATAACAAACACATTCTAAGAATAGAGTCTTGAATGATTTACCATTAGCAGCTCAAAGACATCCAGGAAGGGGTCACAGACTACCCACAGCCCACAAACCTCAGTTCACAGAGCTCCCAATTAGGAGAAAAGGAGTCTCCAACCAAGTCATAGGGTGTTTCTCTTGTATGAACTAGCAAGACTTGTATTCTCTGCATTTTCACTTTGAACAGTTTTTGAAAGTAGCCAATCGTTAAATGTTGAGTATACTTTCTGAGAGCCAGAAATTAGCTTTAAAAAAAAAAAAAACAGAACTGGAAAGATAATGGATAAGACAAATTTCACAAAACATTAATGGTAGAATCTGAATATATCTATGGGTGTTCACTGTTATGAACTTTCCATTTTTTTCTCTATATTTGAAAATGTCCATAATCAAATGTTGAGAAAAACAAACAAATGGAGCAATCTGTCAGCAACCTCCAGTCTGTATTCTCTCCCAGGAGCACTCCTGGCCCCTGGATGTTCACAGTCGGTCCAAGCCCACATCCCGACTTCAGCCTCTTCTAATGTCAACAACTTATCACACTAAATACCAGCCTGGGTTGAACCTTTGTGACAGGGCTTAACTTATTCATGACCTGCTCACTGGACCGTGAGAGCTAGAGGCATCCAAAACAGCCCAGGGATCTAAGTCTCTGGTCCCTTCTGACCACAGAACCCGTCACCTCATCAGTGTGATTCTCCCTCCCCATTCCCAGTCTGACAGGGCAGTGGGACAGGTGATTCTGTCCCTGCTTCCCTAAATAGCACTTACCTTCAAAGATCAAGATCAAAGACTATATAGCCTTCAATATGGATTACACCTCAATGTAGACAAAGCAAAAATCCTTACAACTGGACCAATAAGCAAGGAACATCATGATAAATGGAGAAAAAAATTAAAGCTATCAAGGATTTCATTTTACTTGGATTTTCAATCAATGCCCTTGGAAACAGCAGTCAAGAAAATCAAATGATGGCCATGGCCCTTAGACACCCTTCAGGCATGGAATTGAAGTCAGTTTCCTGGAACTGTTTTCAGCCAAACACTAGACAGGTCAATAAAGTGAACAACACCACCAGGGAGATACTCATTCCTTGGAACAATTAACCATACAAGACCAAAGGGTGGCATTTGCCCTGGGACAAAGTTCAGAAAGCAAGATGGAACGCGGAAAATGGACAAATGAAAACAGAAAACAAAAAGAAGGATGTGGAAAGAGTGCATTGTGAGGATTGCAATCAATGGCTTGAAACAAAATGTGTATGAATTGTTGAGTGGAAAATGAATTTGCCCTGTAAACTTTCACCCAAATGATAACTAAGTTTTTTAAAAAATCAAGCAACATATTTCACTAGGCAAATATGCTCAAAAGACCCCTTTAAATTGCTAAAAAGCAAAAATGTCATCTTAAGGACTAAGAGATGGGCCTGACCAAAGACATGGTATTTTTCAATTGCTTAATATGCATGAAAGGTTGAACAATGAAGAAGGAAAACCAAAAAAAGAATTGATGCCTTTAAAGTAGGGTGTAGGCAAAGAATTAAATATACAATGGACTGCCAGAAGAACAAACAAATCTGTCTTGGAAGAAGTACAGCCGAAATGCTCCTTAGAATCGAGGATGGCAAGACTTTGTCTCCTGTGCTTGGGACATGATATCAACAGGCTCCAAACCTTGGAGAAACACATTATAGTTACAAAAGTAAAGGGTCAGCAAACAAGAAGACCCTCAAGGAGATGGATTGACCCAGTGAGTACAGCAATGGATTCAAACAGAACAATTTTTATGAGAATGGCTCAGGACTAGGCAATGTTTCATTCTTTTGTATATAGGGTGGCTGTGCTGGAACAGACTTAATGGCACCTAACAACAGCAACAAGGAGCTGTGGTAGCGTAGTGGTTACGAATCAGGCTGCGAACTGCAAGGTCAGCAGTTTAAAACTACCAGCTATTCCATGGGAGAAAGATAAGGCTTTCTGCTCCCGTAAAAATTTACAACCTCGGAAACCCCATGCAGGGTCGCTATGAGTTGGAACTGACTCCACAGCACACAGCCACCACCACCAGCAACAACCAGCTCCCCAGAGTCCACCTAAAAATAGCAGCAAGGAGTTCTGATGACACAAGGTTAAGTGCTTCACTGCTAGCCAAGAAGTTGGTGATTCGAACTCACTCAGA